ATTTGATAAATGTTAAAAAAATGATACCCATTCTTATATGATGATCAAGTTTACCTTATCAACTTAGTTTTAGGATTTGAAATTTCACCGACACTAATTTATAGATTTTTGTTAATTCTAATTTTCCGAGTAATTATTAAACTTTTTAATACGTCGTATATTTCAAAATTTTAAAGAGATTTGTTAAGAGTTTTGATTTAATAACAATATATAAATATCATATATTATTAGCAAAATATATAAGGTAACTATTCTTGAGATACTCAAAGATTTGGCTAACTTATTCATAACAATGATATAGTAAATTGGATGTATTCTATAATGAAAAATGATATATTTGATTACTTATTGCAAAGTATGATACCAATTTAATGGAAAATAGGAATATAGAAAAGTGAAAAGTCCACGTAGGTTTTAGGCAACACATGATTTTGTGGTAAAGTGTCGGTGTGTTGATAAAAACAGGTTTCAACTTGAGTTGTGTCAGTGTGTATCTCCCACTTTCATGTCTTGAACTTGTAATTGTTAAAGTTTCAATCTTTGAACTTGTAATTGTTAAAGTTTTAATCTTTAACTTCAAATCTGTTCTGGGTAGCTTCAAAAATGGGTGTGGATTTGAGGCAAGTGGTGGCTGGTATTCTCACTATAACAATGTTTGTGATGCTTATACATATGATCAAAAGGGACCATTTTGATGCTGTTGTTCAAGTAAGAGACTCGCTATCTCTAAATCTTCAATTTCATTTTTTTATTATTAAAATCAAAAGATCATAATTCTTCACTGCTTGAATCTGGGTTAGTCCATGTTTATTACTCTATTATGATGGGTGGATACTATATGGTTTATATACCAAACAAAGTCTTTATTATCTTTTACTAACTTGTCACTTTCTCCCTATTTCTTTGGTCTTGTTTTATTTGAATAAAATTCACATGAAATTTATCAGTTGGTTGTATTGAAGACCCATTAATCCAGGTGAATTCATTTTATCAAACAAATCTGAATTGCAGAAATACAATAGAAATAAAAATGAAATTCAAGGATGAAACCTATTTTTTAATATATATGCATCATAAAGGTTTTAGAGATATAGATCCTTAGTTCATAAACATGAAGACAATAACTGGTAATGTATAATGGAGATAATTTTTCATTAAAAGTGACTAGAAAATGCACATTGTCTATACCTTTTCTTCTAATTTAAGCTCTACAACCGTTGTGAAATCATTGATAAGTTGAGCAAATTTTGATGCTTCAATGTCTAAACATCTTGCATAAAGCGGTCACCAAGATTTGACAAAGTTTTACTATTTTCACAAAGGGAGAATTATTTCCAATTCCAAGTGCTTTTCTAGTGCTGATTTACCATTTTGACAGTATTCTTCTAATTTTTCAAACTGGTAATGATTTGCTCATAGTTATGAATTATGATTAACAATTTAACATAGTTCACTTAACTTTCTTTTACTTCTTTGCATTATAAGGATAAATTTCCGGGAGAAACAGATGATGCCGACTTTGAAAATACAAAGTTTGGAGGTACTCATGTGACAAAGAATATAGGGCTTTGGAAGGGAGATGCTACTGACAATATAAAACCATGTTGGGCCGAGCCATATGGAGGTAGGATTTGGTTTTAAAGACTTTCAAATTGTGGAAAGACTACAATTTTTTTTGTCGTTATTAATTCATATATTTTCGCAGACGATGTGGAGCAAACCGAGGGGTTTGTTACTTTTTCTTTAACCAATGGCCCAGAGTACCACATGTCTCAGGTAACTGATTCCACAGTTATGCTTAAGTTATTGACAAGTTGCTTGTGCATCAGTTTTGAACAAGTACTTGCAGCTATCTATCAAACATCAGCAATACTTTCGCTTTGATAGTGTCCTCTCTCCCCCACCGAAAGAAATGATGCTATTCTTGCGTATAATCTCAGCAAGAAAGGGATAAAACATTTCATGACATTCTAATTACCATATGGTATTGATGACAATTTATGGCGTGTTTGGGTAATGACTTAATGAAGCGCATATTCAATAAGGTTTTTGTGACATAAGATAAAAAGAGCTTATTTTCATAATCTTCTCTAACAAGCTTATAGAAATAAGCTAAAAAGAGCTTATAGGACATAAGTTGCTCTCATAAGCCAAAATAAGTTCTTACAAATGGGGATAAAATTTATACATTTTGCTACTCTGCTATCATATTTATGTGGGATATGCTCCTTTATCAAAACACATTATTGTAAAATTTGAAGACATTATGCATTATTTTATTTTCTTTTTGTCTCTATTTGCTTCAGGAGGTTTTCGTATCCTCCCAATCTGTCTTCCTTTATCTCGATTTTCTTTCATCACCACTATACTTCTTTTTATTACCCATCTCTTCACTAACTTTGATATGTTCCAAGTGGTTCTTTACTTCTTTTCATCACCACTATACTTTTTTTCACTAATATTGAGTTGAACACTTGATTTTGCTTTTTTATCTTCCCTGTCCCTCCTGTCTGCTGCTGTTAGGTGCTAGCTGCAATGGTTGTTACCTGTTAGTTCTTTATCTCTTGCCTCATAACCTTAGATGCAGTCAAATCCTAATTTTCCGGTAATGCATTGTTTCAGATAGCAGATGCGGTTATAGTTGCTAGAAATCTTGGGGCAACACTTGTGATCCCTGACATCAGAGGAACCCAACCGGGTGATAAGAGGTTAGTGCTGTCTTTCACTCTATAAGATTCAGTGTGTACTTGGCCGAGGTTTGTAAGGAGGAAAATGTTTCTGTAAATTTCTTTTATTTTAGTCTCTGCCTAGTTACTCGAAGACCTATATAGTAATTTTGCTTCTTTGTTTACACATTAACTTTGTGGTACAATTTTCCCTTAAGTTTGGGTAACACTTTTCTATGACATATGATACCTTATATAATCTGCCATTTCATGCACACTGCTTGAATTCTATTGAGGGAGGGATATATAAACCGTAGGATTCAAGAGGGGTTGATGAAATGACAGATGACATCATGTGTCACGCGTAATAGAAAAGTGTCACTCAATCTTAAGAGGAAATTTTTACTGCACAACTAAAAGACCTTCAATATTATAAGAAGTTGGCCTGTGGTTTCAGTTTCATTCGAGTTGCAAGTTTTCTTCTAAGATAGTTTAATTTGAAAATGCTTTATTGTGAAGACATTGTTGTGTGGCACATAGAGGAGAGCACTTGTGTTTACCTAATATAGTTTATTTCTCAGGAACTTTGAGGATATTTATGATGTTGAAGTGTTCACCAAAAGCATGGAAGGAGTCGTCAGAGTAGTAAAGGATCTTCCAGATCACATATCAAAAAAGAATATTGCTGCGGTGAAGGTCCCTAATCGTGTTACTGAAGACTACATAGCTACACATGTGGAGCCGATTTATAAATCAAAGGGAAATGTAAGGCTTGCAACTTACTTTCCTTCAGTAAACATGAGGAAAGCTGGGAAAAATGGTGACACTGATTCTATTGCTTGCTTAGCAATGTATGGAAGTTTAGAGTTGCAGCCAGAAATTAAAGACCTTGTCAACTCGATGGTTGAAAGACTTAGAACTTTAAGCCGAAAGTCAGATGGCCAATTTATTGCGGTGGATTTGAGAGTTGAGATGTTGGATAAGAAGGGTTGCCAAGGAAGTGACGATCGAGAGAAAGAGAAGAGCTGCTACAATGCACACGAGATTGCCAAGTTTTTGAGGAAGATTGGTTTTCAAAAGGATACCACAATTTATGTGACTGAGTCAAGGTGGGATGGCAGCTTGGATTCTCTCAAGGATTTGTTTCCCAAAACTTATATTAAGGTGAGATATTTGTTCTAGTGAAATCTTCTCTCTCATAAACACACACACACATGGACAACGCACTTTTTTTTTGGAATACTCATATGAAGCACAGGCACTTCATCCAATACCCCTTTGTATCGGATAATTTAGATACTTTTCATTTATACCCCTTTCAATTAACTTGAGATTTTTCTGCATAATGCACGCATCGTGTCTTATCGATATCCTGTATTTGTATTTGTGCTTCATAGCTTCTGAGTTTGAACTTTTGGCATTGCATCTATTATTAAGTTTTATAAAAAGAATTATACATATTTTAAACATATAATCGTATACTTTTTCAATCGCCACATCGGCTATATGGAAATTCTGCTATCTTCATATTATCTTTAAAGTATAAAATCTCTCATTTACAGGAAGGCATCATAGCAGCTGATAAGAAGAAAAAGTTGGAAGATTTGGAATTGGAGAAAGTGATAGACTTCTACATAAGTTCTGAAAGTGATGTGTTTGTGCCAGCAATTTCAGGTCTATTGTATGCAAATGTAGCTGGTAAAAGAATTGGTAATGGTAAAACTCAGATATTGGTTCCAGCTGCTATTGATTCATCTGCTTCTGCTTCTGCCTCCAATTTCCTTTCCTCTTATATCTCCAAAAAAAACCATTTTGCCTATTCTTGTTACTGTTAGTTTTGCAGTGAACACATTTTCACAATGTAATAGCAAACGTTATTTTATGTGCCTTTCAAGAAGGTTTTGAGAGTTTCAGACTTTAAGGCTTTTTAGTTTTGTATTTGGTTTTTATTGGATGAACGATTCAACAAAAAGATGTGAGTGAGGCTATTGGCATTTGATATGTACACAGACATTGCATTCTATTCAACATTTTATTACTTTGTAAAAGTGTCATTGCAACTTAGTTATTCTTCAACAATTGATAATGTATTCATTGCTATGTAGTATTATTAATAATGGGGCAAACATTCAACGGATAATTTTGTAAAATGGTAAGTTCTAAGCAATGATATTGTCTAATATTTTGTTTGAAAGGCTAATGTAAAATTATTGACTCTTGTTAATCCTAACTTAGAGATGATAATGAGTCTGGATGAGATCGGGTATTGTATTATCTGGACATGTTCCATTACTTCATTGATGCTTAAATGATAAAGTATAATTAGTAAACCTGTAATCTAATCGTAGTTGCCGTCTTAGCTCAGCTGGTAGAGCGCACGGCTTTTAACCGTGTGGTCGTGGGTTCGATTCCCACAGACGGCGTTTTTTTCCACATTTCCTATTTTCCCACAGATATTTGTTTTCCAACTTAATCAGAATGCTACTTCGTAAGTAATAATTTTCTTTTACTTATTTCACAACCATAGTTTGTCTAATAAATATATGATGAAAATAGAATGTATTGAAGCACACAAGTATAATAGTTTAGCACTTAATATGGAGGGTCCAGTACTGCAATATGAGACTCATACTAGTTTTATCATTTATAATATATTTGTTCTAAAAATATTTTAAAATCTATACCGTTAAAAAAAAATTAAAGTCACATATCATAATTTTATCTGATAATGGATGCTAGAAAGTCAGTTTGATAGCATTTATAGAGTAGTAACTCTAAGAATCTCAAGAAGTGCTACAATGTACACTTGAACCAAAAATGTTGTTAACAAAGGAAAAACGAGATAGAGGCATATCACATAATGAATGCTTTTATGTTTAAATCCCATGGGATAGATATCTCATATCTCATAATGATAACATTGCTATATTTGATGAATATACATTTTATATTCAAATTCTAGAATGAAGGATTCAGCAAGATGGACTAGCAATATGTAATGCTGTTACTTGTTGTCAAAGGCATTGTTAGCTTAATATGAAGCATCTTTGTACCATTGCTATAACGTTGTGATCCACTTCTTCTTGTTGGTCTGTTGACCTATTGTTGTGCTGCGGCAGCACGAGACCTCCTCAATCGCCGAAGTGGCCTCAAGACAAATCGGGACAATGGTGTTTTTGGAACTGGAATGAATTTTCCAGCTATAGCAAGAGGCCAACTGAAAGATAATGGCAAAAGAACTTGATCATGACATGGGATCAAAATGTGTAAGCTCCAATACATTTAGAGCAACGCACAAGCAGAAATTTAAGGTTATAGTATACTTTTGGTCTTGACTTGGTCATTTCAATCTCTACATGTACATTTGTTTTCAATTTGACCCTTGACACCCATGTCTTAATAATATTGGTTGTTGGAATTAAAGTCCAGGGACCAAATCGAAAATAACCAAAGTTAAACTTTTTTGTGTCTGTGGTAATCATTCTCTGTATATGTGAGACTCATTTTCAACTTGGTTATACTTTGAAAACAAGTCAAAATAATTGTACATACAGGAGTTGGCCTGAACTGAAAATATTTACAGTATAAGGACCATTGTGAAGAGCATCATGTATATGGACCAAAAGTATAGTTTAATTGGAATTTTAAAGTTCTTTCATAGCCTAAAATAAGTTAACAACCTCAACTAAATGTATTGTAAAGACTTGAGGTCTAGAACTCTATGGACACTGGATAATAAATAATTAAAAGCATGAATGCGAAATCCATTGATGCACTCAGAACTGTCATAATCAAACGCTAATGTAGTTGAGCGAACTAACCTGAAAATGCCCATAATAAGAGAAGCAAGCCACAGCTTCCAATCAAGCCTAATTGTTGAGGTGAACTTTCCAAGGAACTCAATGATGATTATCTAACATTTAGGAGTAGAGTAAGAAAATGTGCAAATCTTAATAATAATAATAATAATTAAGAAAATATCAAAAGTGGTCGCTAATATATTCACTTGAAGTATAAAGGTCACTCCAACAATTCCCACGAAGAGTTTGTTCTTAGTTACTCCTCGGAAGACATTCATTTCTTCAGGTTTCCGAGCATTGAACTCATTGAATATCTGCAAGTTGAAAACATTTAAAAATGTATAATAAGAATTGGACGAATTAGACAATTAACAAATTCTTGCAAAGTTGCAATTGTATTCTATGGGGGGAGGTTAACATCCACTTACTTGGCACATGACGAATGCATTGAAAATTAAAGTATTCTTCACTTGAATATCATGAGCTCTAGTATCTTGTTTAGGTAGAATACTTTCACCACTAAACTTAAGAACTAGAAGAATAGCAATTTGGTAGACAGCCTGCAATGTGAAATAGTATCATTAGATGATGAGACCTAGACCTAAGGACCCTCATTCCTAATTTCATGATGACCTTAACAAGTCTATCTATAAACTAATTTACCTGTACAAGCAAGTTTCTCCACATGATATTCGTAATAAGAGGTTCCCTGAAAGCCAAATATCATAGTGAAAGTGAGTATTTTAATTCAAAAACCAAATAAACCATAAACACCACATAGGTGCTTGCAATGCAAAGTTATATAGAATATGTGACCACTTCAAATGCAGTTGAGCAAACTTTTGTTTTAGCAAAAGTAATCAAACATCAACAGGCTTGGCTACATGGATCAAACGACACCATAATGTTATATCATAAATCTTGTTCATTGACAAATCATTGATCTCAACTTTTTAAATCATTTAACCTATAGTTTTTATTGGCTTCCCCATTCCTCTATAAAATGGACTAACATCCATTTGATCTACTCCCCTTAGTGAGGCTTATAATAGTTTCCTTCACCCATGTTCAAACCCTCTTAGGCGCGACTTTACCATCCTTTCTACAATAAGAGCTACACCAAAATTCTCCCTAAATCACTCATTTATGATCTTATCTTGTCTAGTGTGTCCACTCATTCATCAAAATATTCTCGCTACGTGGAGTTTATTCTTTTGTTGATATTTTTCCGTCCAAAATTACTCTTATAACAATTCGATTCTTATAGTTGTGTAGTAAAACTTCTCATGCTTGGGCGGAACCTTTCTATCACATATGACACATTTCCATCAACCGCCGTAGCAAGTATATAGACCCCATGGTCAACCTCCCCACTATAAACCAAATTGATTTTTACTGATACGTGTCTCTTGAGCTTCATAGTATGACTCATGAGATTAATCACCTATAGTTTGACAATTTTATATGTCACTCTTGTTCTTATATATAGGGACTAATATGCTTCTACAACTATGTATGTTTGATGGCATAAATAGTCGGTCCTAAGCCAAGACTTAAGTAGTCGAAAACCAACATAAAACTTTGTCGAACCTCTAAGATATGTATCTATGAAGTAATCATGTATAAGGAAAAAACAAAAATATGAAGACTTGATGGACTTGGTTGGGCATAATGCATGATTTCTCTCGCTTCTTCAATGTCTCAACCTTTATGGGGTATGATTAATTCATTGCCTTTCCTGTGGGTTAAAACAAATTTCTAAGCTGTTATATGAAGGGATAGTACATCTCTTTGGAGGTAGTCTATCCTATCCTCTTTGAATGTTTCTTTTTCTTTTCTGCCTTTTCTTCCATACAATTATGGCACTATAAAAATTATCACTTAAATTATGTTGAAAATGGAAGTATAACATAAAAAGCAACCCCATATTGCACCTCCTCAATTGAGATACACATAAGAAAGTCAAAGACATTCTGTGTCATTTAACGTTGTAAGCTGCAAGTGGAAGACATATCACACATGTAATCAAAATCAAGTATAAGCCACGTGCACATGTGTGTATGTATATATGTACCAGCTCAGTGTAGCTTTAAGAGTACTTTAAATGTTAATAAATATTAAACACTAAGTGAGAAAGCTAATCAATCCATACCTTCGGCCAACTGGCGATCTGTTCATTAGCTGGTCTGTTGGTGGTTCTGTGGCAAGTGCAAGGGCCCCAAGTGTGTCCATGATAAGGTTGACCCACAAAAGCTGTACCCAAGAGCATGTATATCAAAAACATTATACACTTTTTAATTGTTTATGATTTTAATCATCCCTTCCACAGTAATATACCAGACTTAGTTCTTACAGAATAGTAACTATATCTAAACTACAATAATAAAAACAGCACTCGCATGGAATTCTATTTTGGAATATATTAATGGATACATAAACTCAACAACTTTTATCCATATCCCTATAGAAAATTTGTCAGCAAAGAACAAACTGAACTACAATCCTAATTCTTACCCATTAGCAGCCTATCTATAACAAAGCCTTTGTAACAAACTCAACCGGCACAAGTAGCACACACCTTACATTTGTTATTTCTATATACATCAAGGAACAACAATCAGGAAGTGCTACCAATTTTGAAGTTGACAATGGATATTTAGTACATTTTTCTATTCAGACCAACACCATGTCAATAAATTAAAAAGAAAATCATGAAAACATAATGAAAAATAGAAAGAAAAAATGCCCAGAATTCTGTGGCCAACAAAATCAGACACGGTCCAATTCTCTGCTTATTTTTCACCCTGTCATCTACTTTATCGGGTTATAAAGTGTAAAGGAGGATGTCATTCAAAATAAAAACTTCAGAGAAGAAAGAGAGGGGCACCTGTACTGCATTTAAAGGAACATCACCAGAACTTATTGCTGCGACAACATTTATTACAAGAGCAGCAACGTTAACAGTAAGCTGGAACTGGATAAATTTCTGAATGTTTGCATATACAGATCGGCCCCAGCGGACAACCTACACAGTGAAATAGAACGGACACTTAGACAAATTACAGATTGGACCAATCCATTTCATGCCTGTATCTCAGTGAAATACACCAGGTGGGATGAAAAGGAAGTAATAACTAATAAGAATAACAAAGCTTTAGTCCCACTAGGTGGGGTTGACTACATGAATCAAATGGCCTCACAATGCTATCATGAATCATGTCCTTATTGGGACTAACCTCCATTGTCAAAGCATTAATCTCTAAACCTTTCGTAACCGTTTTTCCTAGCCCCCCTCTACCTCTAGAAATGGGACTAACCTTCATTTGATCTACTCTCCTTACTAGGACTTCTAACGATCTCCTCTACACATGCACAAGTCACATAAGGCTGATTCTATCATCTTTTCTACAATAGGAGCTACCCAATTTTCTCCCTAATGCATTCAATCCTAATCCTTTTTTGTCTGGTGTGTCCACTCATCCAACACAACATTCTCATCTATGTTGCATTTTGTTTATTGCAAAAGGAAGTGAGTATTACTTAATATTAAAGGCGGAGAAAACAACAACGAAATAAAGTAATTTTTTGTTTGGGGAATAAGTATATTGCTTTTTATTTAAGTAT